CAACACTTGTGTAAGTCGTCGACGCAATCAGTGGGTTGCCGAGCAGCACAGAAACGCCAAAGGTGAGCAGGCACATCAGCACTGGTGTAGTTGCCCAGAAGTAAACACACATTGCATCTAAATATTTGCGCTTGGACAAAAATCGTAGTTCCTCGGTACGCAACGAACGGATTTTCGTAATAAATATTGGCTCCCAGGCATTGGTCTTGATTTGCTTGGCGCCTTGCATAGTCTCCGTCGTAGCTGACAGTCGTGCATCCTTGGCCGTCATTAGGCCTGTGGAATATATGCCAATGCGTTTGGCTAGCCAGCGATTGATAGGTATAAGCAGAGCGGCAAATATGACGCCAGCCAAGAAGGCAGCGCCTAGTTGTAGATAGAGCAGATACAGAGTGGTGAAAAGCTTGAACGGTATGCTCCAAAAGAAGTGGAAGCTGATGCAGGAGTTGACAATGCGATCGGCATCCGTGGACATCAAGTTCAACATATCTGGACGGGATTCCCGTACGCCCCGTGCCTCCAGAGCTTTGCGATAGATGCTATTGACCACGCCCACGCGCATCTTCATGCTGACCATGGCCATGCGCCAATCAAAGTGACAGCCGCACAGCGCCGACAACAAGGTGCTCCCGAACAGACCCAAGGCATAGTAATAGGCTTTCTGATCCGCCTCTGATCCATCCTGCCGCAACAGTCCGCCCAATAGCAACGGTCCGGCAAAGCTGGAGATATCCGCTACCAGACGCAACAATCCAATCAAATAGAACTCGAAACCGAAACACTTGTGCAGCGCACGAAAGACGCTTTGTGTTTGCGACAAGGCCAGATGCAGTCGTTCGCTGAGCCGTGTAATGTTGAGCGCGTCGGGCAGATCGAACAAATCCTCGACTCGACGCAGCTTGCCGGCAACGCCCTTGCCTATGAGCGGCTGCACCCAGTGGAAAACGAAACGTGACAGCCAATTGGCCTCATCCTGGGCATGGCCGAGCAGCGCCTCATTCATTTCAAAATGGAAATAGGTATAGCGATGGGACAGCAACGCCTCCTGCTCGCGATCTCTACTGCCGGCAGGTGCGGCACAGTAAATGGCATTACCCTTCGGCACCAGAGTGGCGGCATAGCACAAATCACACAGTAACGTGGCCAGACTCCATGGCCACCACTCGAAATGGCGGCTCGTACGCAACCAGACACCATCGAGCACAACGACCGTCAGCCAAAAGACATTCATCAACAAAGGACCGCGGTGACTCAGCTTACCATAGTGTCGAGCAGTCAGCAGGTAACCTAAAACCAAAGTATCCATGAGTCGGTTTGAATTGACAATAATATCAACATCTTTGTTGGGGGGACTCACCACAGTGAACTACCCACATGATGCACTCGGCGCTGACAACTAAGATATCGACGGCATACAAATCGACGCCTGCTCGATGGAATACGAATATCTTTGATACAGGTAATATGGCCAAAATAATACTGAACAATATACGCAATGTAAGCATTTGCATCTGAAGCCCATTGCGTATTATCTGCTGCGTATGGTTGCCAAAATTGTAGGCGGATATTGCTGCAAAAATGGTGTAAATAGGCAACTGCAGCAGTGTTTTCTGGAAACAGGGCAACAGATCGTTCGTATCGTTGGCAAATGGCTTCAGACCCGTTGGGCAGAAATGTGTCCAGTTCCATGCAAAATTCCAATCGGTTTCCAACATCGTATTTACTTATTTAACGTGCTCAAACAATGGCGTTTACGAAATTTGATCTTATTTTCACACAGCTTAGTGTGTTAGTCATCATTTGCGTTTGTCGCGCAGTCGAACAAAAAGAAACGCGCGCAGCACGGGTCTAGCGCCTAGCAGAGATAAATGCTTTTGTGAAAAACCGTTTATTGACCAGATTGCGCATTAGTGCTTAGCTGCCGCCGCTCTTGTTTATAACTAAAAAACAGCTGGCGCGGCGAAAAAATTGTATTACCAGCTGCAACGTCTACTCGTGAATGTCAGTATCCGCTAAAGGCGACATAAAGATATCGATGTGTCTGTGTACTATCGCCATCGAATGTGTGAATAAGATATGAATACACATATTGATTGATGTTCTTTAACTCACCTTTGAATAATTCTAACGATTCGTAGTTTTCACTGAATGGTTCTGTTTCTAGAAGCCTGGTTTAAAGCAAGAAACCTTTTTTTTAAACTAATATACTTTTCTTGTACTCTTGTGAATTCTAATCCAATATTATAATATTTTCTTCTAAAATATACCCCATTTTTCTCCCTCTTTATACAATTCAAGCAATAGGATGAACTATCAACGTTTACTAAATTTTGCCACAATTGATTTTTGGATCTTTCATCGGTACATTCAGTCGGCAGGTTTTCATTCTGATCATTTCCAATCATCTGTTTCTCTTCCTCTTTTTCGTCCCCTTCCTCATCCTGTTCGTTTTCATCACTGTCTACTAAATAAATTATATCACTAAAGTCAGGAGTAACACAAGAAAAATTTGGTTTATCCATATGTAAGGTTGGGACTGCATTGTTTCTTAATTTTCGTTTACCAATATATTTCTGCTCGAAATGCCTGTTACATATTCTAGCCGTTTTCATATCAAAATTTTTAGGTACATCGAATGTTTTAATCCACTTATCCAAAAGATATCTTTTTGATGCAAATGTAAATAGTTTAATCGTATTATTTTCGGAACTATTCGCATAGGTTGCACGACAATTTTCTATTATACATTTGTAGAATGTATTTGGAGCATATTTTTTTCGTCTTCTATTTTTCACACCAGCACCTGATTTTCTTACTACACTTTTTTCAGTCATAGTTTTAATAAACATAGAACTATTTCAAAATCTGTCATTTTTTACAACACTTGAAGATCACATAATAAATTTTTCAGTTGCGAGGTCTTGTGTCAACTAAAGTGACATATGCGCTTCCTATTACTTTCAATTGGTTTCTCAATTGTATGATTTGATGACATCTAACTAAAGTGTCTTTTAGAAAGGGTCCACTTGATCGGTGTATGTAATATAAATGTATATTTATTTTGCAGATTATGCGTTAATGCTAAGCTGTCGCCGTTCTTGATTACTAATAAGAAACAGCTGGCGCGGCGAATAAATAACTTGACTAAGGAACCAGGTGCAACGTTCACATGTGAATGTCACCACTGAAGCGTCCTGAAGATATCGATATTTTAGTGCACAATTGCTATTGATATTACAACTTTACATTTGAATGTGTGTATGAATAGGACGTTCACATTTCAACTCACCTTTGAATTATTTAAATTCCTAGCTTCCAATGAATAGATATGTCTCTAGTTGCCTGCTTTAAAGCAAGAAACTTTTCTTTTAAGCTAATATACTTTTCCTGTACTCTTGTGAGTTCTATTCCTATATTATAATATTTTCTTCTATAATATACCTCATTTTCCTCTCTATTTATACAATTTAAGCAATAGGATGAACTATCAATGTCTACTAAATCCTGCCACAATTGATGTTTTGTCTTGTTTTTAAAGCTCAAAATATTATCTAAAGATTCTTCATCGTCATATTGATTCTGAATATTTTTAATCTGCAGT